GGGGGGGGGGGGGGGGGGGGGGGGGGGGGGGGGGAAGGGAAAAAATGGGAAAAAAAAAAAAAAAAAAGGTCACGTGCCTGACTGAACTGATGAAAAGGCCGGCCCGAGTTTCAAATGCATTTGAAACTCGGACCTTGACTAAAAAAACTGCTAAAACGCAGTTTGAAATGCAATCACAAACTGGATTTCGTGACTGCGCAGTAGTTACCTCTTTTTTTTGGGGGGGGGACATGCTCCAATCTATTCGTGGTGAGCAGCATGTGCTGGGAACCGGGCCCAGCGTCCCGTGCAAGATCATATTGAGAAATTGAGAAATTTATGGAGAAATCCTTGAGATACCGGGGCCATTACCCAGCTTTGGCTAAGAAAGACAACTGTGTACTCTACACAAGAACACTAAGATTCTCTATCCCCCAAAGCTCGGATCAAAGGAGCATTCAGAATGAAAAAACCACCTGCCTTAGGGCCTTTCAATAGCCCAACCCTAACTGCCTCACCCCTATATCCCGATGCCCAATCTTTTTTTTTTTTTTCTACCAGGTCTCATGCCCCCGACTGCTAGGTTACAGTGGCACAGGCCACCCCATAAAACCCCCACCTGCTAGGCCACAGGGCAAAGCGACCCGCCCCGGCTCCGGCCAGCACAGACTAGGCACCAGCTCACCAAAAGACACTAGAATACCTTCCACCCTCGACAACTCCCCAGATCTCTCTACCAGGTCTCATGCCCTCGTACATCTTGAGTTACAGGGCAGCGCGACCAAGCCCCAACACCGACCAGCATCGTTCTGGCCTCGTCTATTTGCAAACCACTGGGACTCAGGACTAAGGCAAACAACAGTCAAGCCACCAATCAGCACCATAGCTGTAGATCCCGTCATTCATCTCCTTCTCTTTTTTTAGAACTATTAAACCACCAGTACCTTGCTTAGCTATCGGCCACGGGCCTTCCCGTATACGCGCCACAGCCTTAGGGGGGTCGGCCAAGGGAAGGCCCGGCCATAGCGCGGACGCCGGGCCCCGCTTCTGTAGGGACGACACAGTAGTGAAAAAAAAAAAAAAAAAAAAAAAA